ACTAAACAACCCCAGTTCCCTCAGCTGCTCCTCACAAGACCTGTTCTCCAGACCCTTCACCAGCTTCGTTGCCCTTCTCTGGACGCGCTCCAGCACCTCAATGTCCTTCTTGCAGTGAGGGGCCCAAAACTGCACACGGTATTCGAGGTGCGGCCTCACCAGTGCTGAGTACAGGGGCACGATCACCTCCCTACTCCTGCTGGCCGCATTTGATTGCATCATAGGAGTTCTAGGAATAGGTTAAAAAGTTAAAAGAAAGTAATAGCTCAACTAGAAAATGGTTGGGACTGGGTGATGGCTCAGCATAGTGAGTTGGTTTTGCTGCACTTCTACTTATATGTATAAAAATATATTTATGTGAGTAAATAGATTCTGACTTTTTTAAAAAAAATGTTTGTTTCTGATAACATGCATAGGATGATATGCAATTCCTGATTCTTTTTATAGGAGACATACCTTGGGTTATACCTCTGACTGTTACGGTATATTGTAGAGAAACTTGAATTTGAGATTATAGTCTAGCTGCTGCAGGCACTGCAGTTGCAGCAACGTGGAGCTCAGGAATATGTGATTTTTTTTTTTTTTTTTTTTTTTTTCGGGCATATATAAATCAAACTGTGTGGACTCTGGCTTGCCATTTCTGCAGCCGCAGTAGCTCCACTGAACTACTTGAAAAGTTGTGGTTTTTAAATGGAACATTTAAAAATGTAGACTTGTGTCAGTTGTACAAAGCACAGAAGTGCAGTTATTTGTGATACTTTGAAGTTCTTATTTGACATTGGGTTTATTTTGCTTCTGAAAATTGCGTTTGTGTAATGTTCTTAGACAGTGCTAGCTGCAATTGTCATGGTGAACCTGAAAGGAATGTTTAAACAGTTTGGAGATGTCGTGCACTTCTGGAGAACCAGTAAGATTGAGCTGGTGAGTAATGCACAGCTCGGTGCTTATATTTTACTGTATTAAATTTGTTGCTCCTCTTGTTCCTAACCCCTAAAACAAGGTAGAAACTTACCAAGGAGTTACGAGTTGGTGTTGCATTGCACTGACCTTAAGACGTAGAGCTGTAAGTACCCTAGGAGAGTGATCTATTGCAGGCAAGAATGTTTTTGTTGTACAACCACCTTTAACTCAGGTCAGAAGTAGTTCGGTTGCAGTAGAAGAAAGCTTTTGCAGTGTTGCTATAGGAACTGCACTGAAGGCTGTGGGAACGTCTGGGGAGAATTTGAAAAACAAGAGTAACAAAGAAAACTACTTGAAGGTATTTGCCATCTTTTAAAACAAACCGAAAACCTGGCTGGAGTGGGCCAGAACTAAGAACGTATTGGAGGGAACATTTTGGTGGCATTTTTCTCCTGGATTAACTGACTGATGGAAGTAAGTGAGAGCTGCTTGCAGGCCTTATATTTTTATTTTTTTTTTTTTAACCCGAAGGTATTTGGAGTCTGATGGTAACACAGGATTCCTTGGAGAACAGCACTTAAGGCATTAATTGATGTGTGACAGTTTGTCAGATGTTATATTAGTGCGCCTTGAGCTTTTATGGCCTTCTGAAAGGTTAAGGCAATTACAGTCTGCCGTCATGATGGATTACATTATAGCCTGTCCCCGAACAGAAGTGATACATAGGTTTTGAGGTTGAATTATGCTATTGTTTTTGCTATTAACAGACAAGGATGCATAATAATTCAGACCTTTTCTTTGTTTTAGGCCATCTGGGTGGTAGCTTTTGTGGCTTCTCTTTTCCTGGGACTAGACTATGGTTTGCTTACTGCAGTAGCGTTTGCAATGATAACCATTATTTACAGAACACAAAGGTCAGATTTCTTCTTTATCAAAATGAGTGTTTGCTGATCATCTGTGTGGTTTTGTTTGCTTAAGGGGTGCAAATAAGCAGAAGACCTTTCCACTGTCTTCAACTGCATGCAATATAGAATCTGCTTCATAAGATAGGTCATGCCCTGTGCCTCTGATCCAGGGTTCACATTTTATTTTTCTGAGAACTAAATTTCTAGAGGGCATGAACTTGCAATTTCCGTAATAAACAGAAGATTTTCGATTTCTTATATTGGTTATAATCTCCATTTACTTTTTTTAATGCCTAGAGTTTAGAACTTCAAATCTGCCTGATGCCAGTTTCAGTAAATGATTACTTTTCATGTACACTAATTGTCACAGTCAAGCAGCAGTTGTGTCAGGTTATCACTAGGTGGATGTTCAGGTATTTTGTAAGAAAGTTCTAATTCATCAAAAAATTGTGCCTGCCCTTCTGGTTTTTCAAATTGCCCCTCCTCTCACCCCATTCAAAGTGACAAAGCTTTTACTGTGGAGCTTTCCAGGTCTACAGCGAAATGATTTCTTGCATGTGTGGATAAGACTGTCACATGAAGCTTCTAGGTTTGAGTCTGGGACATCTAGGTAGAAAATGCATAAAAGTCTTGGTTTTGATCTGCGTTGGAATGAAACCAAATTCTGAGATTTCCACTTGCACAAATAAGAGTATTTTTCTGCCATCCCCATACAGTTTCGTTCCTGCAAACAGAACAGTAATGTACTTTGCGGTCACACTGCTTGTGAGCTGGGAATATTCATCGGGCATTGTCCTGAGAGCAGAGTGGCTCTGTGGAATTGCAGCGTGTTTTCTGCCAGTATGAGTTTCCAGATTTGCAAGGTGGTCAATGGAGTTGCACCAGTTCATGCCAAAGAGAATTTGCCCTGTACCTTTGTATGTTTTGGCCCATGCTTTTCAGAAAATGCCAACATTACAGTGATAAGTTTATAAATTGGTTTTGCACTGGCAGAAGCAAACTTGCCTAGTCCCCAAATGGCCTCTGTATTGCATTCCTGCCCACTGCGTTTGACCACATGCAGATAAGCCTCTAGTGGACAGGCACTGCAGGGTGACCATTTAAAACAAGTTTCAGTCCATATTGTACAGTTACTTTTCCACTTTGTAAGTGATAATACTGAAACATTTGCTTCCATTTCTCTCTAGCCCTCAATACAGAATCCTTGGTCAGATTCCTGACACTGACATCTACTGTGATGTGGCAGAGTACGAAGAGGTAGGAGTGTGTTGTTCTGCACTGAGGAGTTTCATGTAGCGGAGCAAAGACAACTGCATAGCCCTACCGTACTGCACGTACAGGGCTGCCTGCCTAGCATCAGCTGTGTTGGAGGGAAAGAAGATAAATTTGATTTTAGTAGTAAAAGCTATTTTGTATTCAAAATGCTATCTTTTTGTACTGCATATACATTTGACCAGGAGTGATCAAAAGTAACCTTTGTCCCAGTTCTGTTGTACTAGCTTGTACAAAGTGGGAAGGTTTAGAGGAATACCACTGCTAAACCTGCCGTGCTCACAAGTGCGTGCAAGGCCACCTTCTTTACTCGTGTGGCAGTATTGTGTGAAGGCCGTGGAACCTGGGATCCGAAATGATGTGTTCTTCAGAATGGCACAAACTGTTCAAAACAGCATCTCCCTGCCTCTCCACCCATCCCCTGTTCATTAAATATACATGACTGCCTCTCCACCCGTCCCCTGTTCATTAAATATACATGATTAATGGCGCAATTGCTTGCCGTGCACTTAACTGCTTATAAACGCCATTTTGTTCAACCAAAAGTTGGTGAAGGCAATACATTTTGTCAATATAATGGATATAAACATGCTGTATTTATTCACAAAGAGCAACTACAGTTCTCTGTGCTCTCTGCCATGTTCTCGGAGATGCTGCTATAAAGGCTACATCCCCCCTTTGCTAAGGAACCAGTCTGTAAAAACCTCTGTGAAGAGATGTGGCTGTAATCTGAAAACATTCTCTCACCAGCAGTTCTGCTTTGAATATGATACAAAGCAAAAGTGTCTGTGGGCCTGTTTATAGCTGTATGCAAAGAAGAGGAGACTCCATTTTTGTTGTACTGAATGCAGTTAGCGTTTCCTCCTCCCGTGTAAGGACGGGGTTGGCAGCATGTGGCAGGCTGGATCTCTGCTGCTGGCCAGGTCGTTTGCATGTAAAATGTCAGAGGGCAGCCTGTTTAGAGATGACTTCATTTAAAGTAGAAGAAAGAAGTGATATTGACGCCTATCGCTAGGCCTGTTTAAAACCAAAGATTTAAAAGGCTCTTTTTTGATACCTGAGGAGACAAGAAAGAAAAAGAGAGAGAAAGAGAGAAATAAGTCATTGTGCCTGCAGAAAGGGAGGCTAAAAGGAAGCATTCCTAGATCTGCATGGTTTCCTTATGGTAGTAACAGCTGCAGATAGCAACATCAGAGAACTGCAAATATTTAATTCCTTTTTATGGCTGTACGTTTCATTGTTCCAAAGAAGGAGAAATGGTACATGGCATTGATTGTGTGCAGTATTGCACCGGGAAAGGGGGAGGTTCTGGTCTTCTGATTGCCTTTGCTTACGACAGTGCCAGCCGCCTTTATTTGACACACGCTGATAGCCGGTCAGGGTTGGCCGTTGGGCTGCTGCGTGCCCATGTGTCTTGTGATCACACAGGTGCTTTTCTTCTAGCGCAGGCAGTCCTTAACTGTGCACCTCCAATGTTCTTTTCCTTAGGTTAAAGAATATCCTGGAATAAAAATATTTCAAGCTAATGCATCGCTTTATTTTGCCAATAGTGAGTCTTACACAAGTGCACTGAAGAAAAAGGTGAGGAAAGCAAGTTTTTTAATGTCCATGTCTTGAAAATTCAAGCTGGCTTCTGAAACATGCTCATCTTTCAGCTCCTTTAGTGTAGGCCCTAGCACAGTGTTTCTCAGCCTGTGGCCCCTGGTGATCAGTAAGATGACCCTCCAGCCCAATGCAGATCATCTTGGGGAGCGACAACGTGGTGGGAGGGAGTAAATGGGCAAAGTGTAGCTTAATACTAACTGCTTGTGAACGGCGAGTCTGGTGGTCGCAGAGCACAAACTGGTGAAACGCACTTCTTTTTTTAGAAGGAAAGAAGTAGTTGCTGAACTGAAAACAAAATGTCTGGGAGTAAAAGCTTCCTTCTTGGAAACTTTAGTGGAGTGTAAGACCATGGAATATTGTGGGCATTTAGTGCCTCTCATGAGCAACAAATTACCTGCATACAAAGTATGGCTGGCCTCCTGTCTAACCAGTGTTTGACTGGGTGGGAATGGCAATAACAGAACTAGCGAAGGGCAGAACTGCCTGGCCCGGCGGCAACTGCACCCGTACTAACTTCTGACAAATTTTTCTGTAGCTCCCATGACGAGTCTTATACAAAGCAGGTAGGTGGTACTTGTCTTCACGGAGCGAGAGGTATTAGCGATTTATGTCCAAATGCACTTCTCTCCCCTTTGCTCTGTGCACTCGAATCAGCATTCGGTTGAAACACGGCGCTCTCTAATTTCAAGAAAAGAATGTGATGCATCTCTTCCTCATCTTGTTAACACAGTGCTTGCCAAGATGATTCCTTCTTACTTTACACTGTTCTCACCCCCACCGAGGGAAGCTGAACAATGCAGGCTCATATTTTAAATTTGTGACAGTGATTAATTCAGTGCTAATTGATACTGCAATGTCATCCTCACAAGCTGAATCTTCTCTGACCGTGCTTTCTTTTCATGACAGACTGGAGTGGACCCTTGTGCCATATTAGCAGCAAGGAGAAAAGCCCAGAAGAGACATGCCAGGGAAATAAAGGCAGCAAATGCACTCAGAAAGAAAGCTGTACTGAAACTAGTGAATTCTTCGGTAAATATTTACCTCTGCGTTATCAGCTGATGCTGCTTTCTGGTGTTACCATTCCTGTTTACACAAGATGCAGAGTGCTGCTCCGGCAGGGAGACTTAGGGGGCAAGTGCAGTGCAGCATGGGCAGGCCACTGAGGGAACAGCGTCAGGGTCAGAGAGGGGCTCATGGCTGGATTGGATAATTGTGCCGATCCTTGATTACATCCGGGTCGCACGTAGCGGAGCAGAGCCTTTCCACGCCGTCCTACTGTCTGAGCAGTGGTGTCGGCGGAAACTGGAGGGACCCGACCTCTGCCCCTCCCCGCACCCTTGGAATAATCATGCAGAAATAGGATATAATAAAATTAATTCAAATTATCAGCCCCTGTAACAAAAAGGTGCCACCTGCACTGCTGATCCTGGCATGGTTAAGTGAGGCAGGTACATCGGGAAGGGTTGTCTGAAACATGCCTGCGCTTCTGTGCAAGTTCACCCCCGCGGTAGGAGCTGGTGTGTGTGTTTTGCCGTGGGAAACCAACCAAATGCCCAACTGTTGCTTCTTTGGAGTATGGAGGCCTTGACAGGATCAGCAGGGCTAAGGCAAGGAAATGGAGGAAAACCACATGAACAGGTGTCAGTGTCTGAGGGAAATGGGTAATTCACTGCCGAGGTAACAGGTTTCAGCCGTTGGCGTGTGACTGTCAAAAGGCTGAGCGCAGGAGAATAAACCTTGATGTATGCAGGGTACAGAAGTATGTGTGCCTGTAAAGGCAGTGTCTGTGATGGCTGGGAGCTGTACACCTCTTAAAGGCTGAAAGAGCAGATAAATATGGGGCAGAAGGGGATCGACACTGAAAAAGCATTGGCTGTCATTAACCTTTGTTAATCTTCTCCCCCAGGCTAATGACGTGGAAGCGAGCGTAAAACATGAGATAGCAAATGATGAGTTACCTGTAAATGGAAAGTTTGCATCTGCAGATGCTAACGTACAAGACGTGTCTCCTGATGAGCATGAACACTTTGTGGAGCCTGAAACAAACATCCACTCTTTAATTCTAGATTTCACCCCGGTGAACTTTGTGGATTCAGTTGGAGCAAAAACACTAAAATCGGTGAGTAGGGCTTTTTTCCCCAGAAAAATCCATAGAAAACTTGTGAGGTACCTAATAGGGCACCTGCCAGCATGAGACATAAATGCCAGCTCAGGTACAGTCCAGTGTCTTGCCTAATCACAATTTTAATTCTGTAGCTCTGTAAGTTTTAGCGGAATGCTGGGGAATGTGGACTGCAGCTGTCTCAGTAATCAGCTCACATCTTCCAGAGCAGCGACGTATACGAGGCCAGACCTGCGTCTAACTTCTGGTTTGCTCTGTTGCAGATTATAAAAGAATACAAAGAAGTTGGTGTCCATGTCTGTATTGCCAGCTGCAGTGGTGAGTTGAGATTGTGGGGGTTTGTGAGCTTTGTGGGAGAGACTGTGTTTTATCTCTTTCTGGCCCTGAATTTTCTGCTGCCAGGTGCCTCAGTAGTATCAGCACTTACTTCACATAAAATTGGATAAACATTGGATTTGAGGAAAAGCAAGCCCGTGGGCATTAGAGCCTTCACGCCAGTGACAGTGGAGCACTGATGTAATGGGTTCTGTGGGGACTAGATCCTGCTCCCATTTGTTCCAGCTGGCCAACTGTAAATGCCACAGCACCGAACTTTGTATCCTGAAATTGTTGTAATGAGGAGAAAAGCTTGCGTTGTTCCACGCTTCTGATGTTTGGAACTGTAGCATCTTCTGCCAAGGATAGGCCTCTGAGTGTGTCTGGGTAAGGGAATCGCCCGCTTGGAGCAGCAGTAGCACGCGGTCCCCCTGGCTCTTGTGAATGTTTTGAGTAGTAACGAGTAAGAGAACAAGTTGCCGTCTCCTTCCTGAGATACCGTTGTCTCACCTCGTGGAACTCGAGTTTATGCGCTGATGCCGTGTTTGGTTTTCCCTTGGCAGGCCCTGTGATGAATGAGCTGACAAGACTGAATTTTTTTGACAACACTGTAACGAGAGAGTTGCTGTTTCACAGTGTTCACGATGCCGTCCTTGCTTGCCGAGTGAAAGCCGGGTCTGCTTCACAGGCTGGATTTGACCTCTGAAGGGTGGCATCGAGCAGAATGGAAGCCAGATCTATGCTGATGGAGAGACTGAATATTTAATTTGCACACTTTAAAGAGAGCCTGAGGCTATTTGTATCTACGGGTATAGGGTGGTGCTTATTCTCTGTAGGAAGAGTGGATAAGGAATTGGAAGCCTTCATGCTCTTAAATTTTTTCCTTCAGTCAGGGTATAGCCTTCCAGCAACCCGCAAGCACAGAATTATGCAAGACAAGAAAATTGAGTGTATTTTGCTACAATCAGAGTCTGACAGACAAGGTGACATTCCTGTTCCTATTGAGAAAATGGGCACTTTAACTCACTACGAGGTGGGATCTTGCAGGAAATAACTGTTCTGCAATTGCAATGCACTGTACCAGTGTCTTTAAAGAAGTTTCTTAGATGACTTTTAAAGCCTGATGTCAACATCTGCATACAACGGATTCATATAAATTATAGTAATCTGCCAGATGGATTAATGAATTCACCCTGGTGGCATTTAGCTGCTACTCTTTTTAAGCCTGGACGGTACAGTTATTTTTTTTAAGACATCTAACCTGTCTCAGCTATACTCAACTCTTCCTTGCCTGAACGTTTTCACGCTGAGTGAACTTCAAATTCGAAACTCATTGTTTAATTATTACATTATCAATAAGGTACTTTCACTGCCAAAACCTCATTGTGCTTTCTAGAAAAGAATACAGTTGATTTGAAGCTAAACTAATTTTAGCTTCAATGTTTGAAGGCAAAACTGCTTTAAGGCAGGAGTGAAGCCAATTAAAATTAAATTAAGAACTGATGCCCTATAAGCAATCTCCTAAGATGGAATAAAAAACCTAGACAAGGTCTAAAGTCTCAGCGGTCCAAAAAAAGAGAAGTACTTTTCTGTTGCCTGAGCTGCCTTCCTACCTGCAGCGCTGCTTCTGCCTCCGCTCTTAAGTGCTTTGAGAAATGGATTTCACCAGAACCCAAAACTGTTACGTGTTCGGGTTTTTTAAGGGAAACGGGGCGGGGGGTGTCTGTTGTCTTCACAACCCGGCCGCTGCGGTGCTGCTTAACGTCACCTGCTAAACAGGAAACATGGCGCTGTGATCCAAGCAAAGGAAAGAGCTCTTCCACGCCTGTATTTCCCGAACAACGCTCACTATGAGCCTGAGCAGAGGGAGGGACCTAAACGTGTTTCCCTGCAGGTTACTTGGCCAGCACAGGGGCAGCCCAGCGAGCATCAGTGACGTTTCATTTAGCACCCTCCAACCAAAGGTCCTGTGCCTAAGGGAATTCCACCGCCTGCCTCTCTTCTGAATGTGGAACTTAATGCTTCCCTTGTGCTTCAGGCTCTGCTGCGATTAGGGCTTGCTTCAGGTCAACCACGTTTCCCAGGAACAGGGGGCAGTCAGGGAAGATGTTTTATTTCCTCAGACGCCCCTGCCAATAGGAAAAGGAAGCTTTCTGCCTCAGAAATCACTGCTTAGCTGGAGGTCTAAGGATGATTTGAACACATGTTAAGACACTGTGCGTGTTTATTTAAACAACTTTTGGTACATTTTATAACATTAACTAGTGTAACAAGCCTTTGTATCGACATACAATCTATTTTTCTACTTTCAGCTTGTTGCAGCTTCTGTTTTTAACTATCTAGTCTCTTCAGTTCGCATCAAAACCCTGTCAGCTTCTAAAATAAAGTGATGATCGTGACTTGTCAAAACTTTCCACTTTGTCTTGGTGAGGGGGTGTGGGGGGGGGATGAGCCAAGGTCCCGGGGGCCAGTGTCTGTCGCTAAGGGACGGGCTGGGAGGGGTTACCACCTCCATGCAGCTCCTCCCTGCCCCTCAGCCCCTGCTCCCCCACCTGCGTGAAGCCCCCTCCATGCCAGGCCTCACACTGATGCCATTAACGCTGCCTTTCCCATCCTGGCAGCACCAGCTGCACTTCCTGGGGACTGCAAACCTTTGCCCAGGGAAGCCCTAGACCCCAGCCTGCGCGGCACCAGCACTCCGCCACCCACTCCTGCGTGCTGCCAGTGTTGCTGGTAACTCAGCCACAAACTAAAATCCAGCAGCTTCGGACCGGTCTGTTCCTGTGCTTTGCTGCCACCAGCTGAGGCTCTGCTTCCTGCTCGCCCGCCCAGGGCAGCTCCTGAACAGTAAATGGGCTTCCTCTGTCCTACACCGATTAACAGACCGCAGTCTAGAACTTTACATCCTACCTGAGGCTTCTCAGTGCTCCATTAAACACAGCCACCTCCTTTGAACTTGTAACAGGGCTCGTCTCTTGCCCCTCTCTAGTTTGTCTACGGTGCCGCTGCCCACTCGCTGCTGGAGCCCCACCGCAGCCAATGTCACTGCACAGCCGAAGGCCGGTTTGGTACCTCTTCATGATCAGAACAATGTTACTCCCCCCCTGCCCCGCTCCGCCCCGGCTTTTTTGCAAGAGTACTGATGAGAATTCAGGGTACCTGGTAAGATCCAAACTCTTGTTTAAGTAAGTACTGCACTTACTTACCCATCTTGAGTACGGTACGCTTAACTCCAAGTGCTGCTTTCTGACCCACTTTCCTCCCAGGCTTGAAATGACAACAATTCTGTCCCACCACTGAACTTGCATCTTGCCAAAATAACACTCGACCCCCAAGATCAGGTTTTCAAGCAGGGACGAGCAAAAAGGCGCAACTGCCCACTCATTTATCAAGATGCCGACAGCGGCCAAGAGCCCAACAAAGCCCCTGTACGCCCCCTCCTTCCCTACTGTGTGCTTCCCCTTGCAAAAAACAGAAAGCGGCTTCACGACCTAAGCTTGATAAAGTGGCATCAGTTGTGTCAAAATGAGACCTGACGAAACGTCTCTCACTTCCAAGACAAAGTAGTTCCCAAAAGAATTTTTCTCCCCCAAGTGTCTCTTAAAGCTTCTCCCCCTGCCCCAGCTTTAATGCCACACTTGAAAGAAAGAAAAGGGGAGGCTGTTGCTTTCCAGCTCTGTAGGAACACGCTAGACAAATGAAGAGCAGCCTTCTGACGATGCCTGCTGCAACTATCGGCTA